GGTAGTTCAAACCCACCAGCTACTCCTGGGAAGGAAGACTGGGCAATCTGCTTCCATAGAGATACCACCTCAGAAACCCAAGGAAGGGTCACTATGAGTAGGAACTGACTCAATGGCAGTGAGGTTTTTTTTGGGGGGAGGTGGTTTATATATAATGGGAATGTCTACACATGGTTTCTTTCTCTCATATTAAAAAATACTTTATAACAACATCAGTTCTTGACTCTTACAGCCTCAATCACTAAATGATCATCAAAATGACCTTAAATAATCATTAAACAAATGTGTGATGGGGACAAGAAAGATAGGTAAGTTCAGGGGAGACATTCATGATAATAGGAGAAAATGAGTGTTTCCTAAAGTATTAAAACAATTCTAACTTTAATATTTGAGGTGTGAGAAATGTGTAAACTGTGAAATGCTATCAATGCCTATTTATTCACATATTCTTTTAGCAAACTTTTAATGAGCTACTACTAAGTGCCTGCAAAATACAGAACTGAATTAAAAAGGAGCACACAAATTAAAGAGGATAAAGAATAAAAAGGAATAATAACACTAAGACAGAGATAAATTTCAGGACAATAGCCCCTTACTGATCTAACTTTATGTATATTATTTAATGCTAACATTGGTACTGTGAGGTATGAATAAAGGCACATAAGTAATCTGCCCAAAGTCAAGTAGTGAAGTAACAGCAGTGGGGTTTGAATCTGAGTTGTCTGGTTCCAGAGTCCCTATCCTGAACTACTTTCCTACTTCCCTGGGCATGTTTGGGTGATGCTCTGGGACCTTAATTAAGCTATAGAAGAGCACATGTGTCAGGAAAATCTTGTGGAAGAATATAAAACTTATGACAAATATTGAAAAAATGAGTTGAAATTAACCAAATGGATAAAACAAAGTTGGAAAATCCAGGCAGAGGAAACAGAGTATGCTTTCCACTGAGGTGGGAACAACATGATGTGTTCTGAGAATTGTGATTCTGTAAGGCTAACGTTAGGGATGTATGATGAGGAAGAAAACTATGATGTTGAATAGGGATGTGTGGGACTGGAAAATGTGGAATCCTTCCTTGCCAGGCTCATGTGTTTTGATTATGTCCTGTGGGCAATAGCCAACCTTAAAAGACTTTAAACAAGGAAGTAAAGTTATCAAACATAGTTTAGTTGTATATTAGTTAGGGTTCTCTGGGTACAAGCAAGAGAAACCATATCTGATTAAATAAGGCACATGGTGAATATACTGGAATTATACTATGGAACAAAGCTTAGAAAAAGAAAAGGATGCTAAGCATATCTTGGCATCTGGTTAACAGGAACTATTTGAGTTTCTGCAATACTCTTTTTTCCCACCCTGTATATCTCTGCTAAAGATTTAAAGTTTTGGTAGAGTCCAGTTACCTTGGTTAAGTCAGACACCCACCCTTAGCTAGAGGAGAGCAGAGAACATTGATTTACAACCCTCTCCTAGTAAAGTCTCTCCTAATGAGGGAGAGATAACCCCCTCCCAAAGAAATTTCAGTCTATTAACCAAACAAGAGGGAAAGGATGCTGACTATCCAATAAACTACAAACAACCATTCCATTTGAGCA